ACGTGGTCAGGTAAATTTTGAGCAGGGTTAGATAACACTGCCATGAGCATGCTGGAAATTATGTCTAAAATGTTAGAGCTATGAGTGTTGGTTCCGGATTCCACAGGGAAAGCGCAACCGTTCTGGGATGGGGAAAAGGAGTAATCATGGATAAGGGCCTGATGGGCCTTCCTATCATAGCTGGGAGAGAGAGGAGCATGGGATTTGGGTTTGACAAAAACTGTTTTTTTGTAAGACTGTCTTTGTGGGGATGATGTTTTGTTTGGTGTTGTTTGAATGTAGTTGACAGACTTGGATTTAGAAACCTCGGCATAGGATTTTTTGACCGCAGGAAACACATGGCTTGCTTCCGCATAGGAAATCGCTTTTTCAGCCATTAAGGCCTTAATGCTTTTCTGGCGTCCTAACTCAGGACAGGAGCTGTTATTGGCAAAATGATTGCCATTGCAATTAATGCAATGTGCAACTTCTTCCGCCACTAGGCATCCATCGCCAGGATGATCCCGACCACATCTGAAGCAACGTGGTTTGGAGCGGCATAACGTGCGGGTGTGTCCAAAGCGACAACAGTTGTAACACTGTATTGTGGGGTATGTATACAATTCTACAGGGAGAGCAGAATAAAAACAAAAAACTTTCTTTGGTAAAATTTGCCCATCGAAAGTGAGAACCACAGTTTGGGTAGGCTTCCATTCCGTACCATTGTCTGATGAAATTCTACGGTTCATCCGTCTTGCTTTAATTGCAATCCCACACCCAGCGGGAACCTTAATGTTCCTAATAATTTCCTCCTCTGACCATTCAATGGGAACATCCCTCACAATGCCCATTCTAGTAATGTTGAATTGAGGGATTGAAGTAATATAATTTTGTGCTACCACGCAGTTAATAAGGAAGCTATTCGCATCCTGGTGAGACACAAACTCAACCGACACTCTATTTCTACCGAGTCGCTTTACTCCTCCAATTTTAATATTGTTTATGTTATTCTTTGACAAGAACATCCCGAATTTGATTGGGTGGAGAGTAGTGCCACTCGTCTGGGAGTCTTTAAGAGAAACATGGACAACATAGGGAGGGTTGTCTCTAGCCGTATAGCACTGCCTACCGTTAATACTTTTCGCTATCTTCGGAGGATTAATACGGGATATAATGGGAGAGCCAGCAGGTCTTTTCCTGTTATTATTGTTTTCTGAATCCATTGATTCATGATCCTGGTTGTCATGGGGGAGCGTGACGCATAAAATGGGATTGTACTCTGGAGATTTGTCAGGAGGGTCAGGAGGCTTCTCCTCGTCCATAGTATTCAATAAAAAAGGGAAAAGTTACAAAGGTGGGAAGAGGAAACAAGTGTTAAAAATACAATACCTTATTAAAACTAATACACACACAATTTAACAGCACAATAAATAAAGATTTCAAATTAGATCACTAAAATTGATATAGTATGCCCGATAAAAACACGTGCGTAACCTTCACCACTACCAACGAAAGTCCCAACTCGACGAAGACTTGAATTTTTTTAAGTCATTATTACCAACTGTGAAAAAATTGAGTTGCTTTAAAAAAATATTATTTCGTACAAAAGTATTAGAAGCTTTAATTGATATAGAAAAAGAAATTATTATTACCATTGATGACATTTCATTAACGCAAAATACGGTAACGAATGATTTAGAATCCTTAAATATAAGATCAGACACGAACAATGAATAAATAGGTAACAAGAAAGACTGAAGATTTGATTAAGACTGTTTAATTATTAAGAACAAAAGAAAGAGAAGAACATGAAGAACTATTTAAGTTAGTAAAAAGCGCAATTTTATATTTATATTTTTCTGGTCTCATGTGCAATTATTATGATATACAAGGGCATTCGCCAAAAGTTTACAAGCCTTGAGTGTAATGTTCATAAGGAAAGAAACGGGGTCGATTCGGACACTTTTATCTTAAACCCTATTTAGGGTCAAATAAAAAAGTGTATCAATAGACCCCTTTTTTACTTAATGGACCTTTTTTTTGAACCTACTCATAACATTGCTCCTTCATATATCCTCTTCTTAAATTTAATCTTTTATGTAGTAAACTGTGATTATGATTGGGATGATAAATAAGAATTTAAAATAATATTAGTACCCGATCTAGTAATAGAAGGGAATAATTAATAAGGGAAATATTCGTATGTAAAAACTTGCAATCAATATGCGTCATTATAATTAATACTTTGTAAGGTAGGTATATTATTATAATTAAGACATTTAGACTTATTGTACTGTTTTAACTGTTATTGTGTTTTTTTATTTTAAACTTGAACCTGTGATTTTATTAGTGTATTTCAAATGAATAATCAAAAACTAATTGTAACGTAACGTTTATGCAAGAAACTTTTGTTAAATAATGACTGTTTTTTTTACATGAATAAAGATGATTATTAATATCGAAATGTCTTTACTTACCGCAATGTCATTGCAAATCGTTCCATTGGTGATACGATTGACGTAGATTTCAATCGTAGATTGTTAGTCTTCAAATAGGGCTCCAGTTTTGAATAAATTTCATCATAGACTTGTAATGAAACTTTAAAATATTTGAAAAAAAAAAACCTTTCATTTTCTCTTAATATACCAAACTTCACCACGAATTCCCCGCACAGTAACCTAGATTCAACGTACGGGCTTACTGGCTGGCGTCTTTTTTTGGCAATTCGTCGTCGCCGTCGTCTTGATAAATAATACAACATTAATTTATCCATAATTACTCGACTGTACACCTCAAACGTCAAAATTGTACTGAGAAAACTGACGCGCCGATGCCCGCGCATAAGCACGCGAACGTGCTCACGTGCGTGCACCAGAAGCGTGGCCCGCGACGTGCTCACGTGCGTGCACCAGAAGCGTGGCCCGCGACGTGCTCACGTGCGTGCACCAGAAGCGTGGCCCGCGACGTGCTCACGTGCGCGCACACGCGTAACGCAGTTTATGCCCTAACAGTAACGCATCGACGTGTGCTAACACGGCACTGGCCAAAGCGGGCGGCAGGGATAGCGGGCGAAGGGCGAACTCGAGCGTCGCGAGCGCGCCGCGCGCGCGTTGCGCGCACCCTGCATGCACGTCACACGGCGGCAACACCCGACGCTCACGCAGCGCGCTCGCGCTACTCGCACGCCCGAGGATCGCGCACGCCAAATGTGGGGTCAGCCTAACTAGTATGTAAGTTTTTCCGAGATTATCTTTTATTTGGCTAAACCTATTTTGATGGAATTTTCATTTAATTAACTTTAACCAGTTTCAAACATTTAATGTAATTTCGACTAAAAACTGGTTGCATTCATAGTTCATATTCGTTTCAGATCATTCTGATAAAGAAGACGACTTTATGGCGCTGTTTAAAAATAATTCTCAAGACTAGGATGACAACAATATTAAGTATCAGACACGTGACATTTCAACAAATACGACAAACTTAAATCTTAGGGGAAAGGAAGGCAAAACGGACCCTGTGGGCAAAAAGGTCCACCTGGATTGTAATGAAACATGTAACGCCATCTATCTGATTGTTACGTGAAATTATTGGGAGCCATGTTGCCGCTTTCGGTCAGTGTACTCAGTTCCACCGGCCGCACGTGCATCGATTTAGCAAGGTAAGTTGATTTTTTTAGATTTTGATGTAGAAATTGCATTTTTCAATTAGCCTACAGTTTGACTAGGGTTGTAATAAAGTGATCTTATGATAACCACATGTAAACTGATATGTGATTAAACGAATAACAAAGTAAGCCAACTGTTTCTCAGATTTATAACCTTTAAATTATTCGATTTTCTTGTAAGTACCAAAAAGGCAAAACGGACCCAGGCAGAATGGACCGGTGTACCATTTTGCCTTCACTGGGACCGTTTTGCCTTCTCTAAAGTAATGTGAATGTTAATAAATCTAAATGCAATAAAAGTAGAAGAAAATAATGTTTTCATTAATTTTTTTGATTTGGTTTCAGATGGTAAATAATTATAAAAGAAAATCCAATCGAAATTCCTGGGATGAAGCCAGCATGAAAAATGCAATTGAGAAAGTGGCAGCTGGAGAAATGGGCCTCAATAAAGCTTCTAATCAATTTCTGGTACCAAAGACTACTCTGAAGAGAAAATTAGAGAAATATAAGGCTACTCAAAATATTGATATTGCCACAAATAAGAAACTGGGTAGATTTGAACAAGTTTTTACTAAAGCTCAAGAGACTGAATTAGCTACTTATGTGAAACAGATGGAAAGTCGTTTGTTTGGATTAACCACGGAAAATCTAAAGAAGTTGGCATATGATCTAGCTGAGAGAAATAACATAAGTCACAATTTTGATACTTGCAAGAAGATGGCAGGTAGAATTTGGTTAGAAAACTTCTTAAAACGTAACCCAGATCTTAGCTTGCGTAAACCTGAACCAACATCTGCAGCCCGAGCAGCTGGCTTCAATCAAGTTGCAGTTAATAATTTTTTTGATTTGCTGTCACATGCAATTGAAACTTATCATCTGACTCCAGATAGAATTTTTAATGTAGATGAGACAGGAATCACAACAGTCCCCAAGAGTATATCAAGAATTATTGGCACAAGAGGGAAAAAACAAATCGGCTTATTAACTTCTGCTGAGCGGGGTCAACTAGTCACTGTAGTGTTTTGTTTTGGAGCAGATGGGTCCTATATGCCACCTTTGTTTATTTTTCCCCGTAAAAGGATGAAGCCTGAATTGATGAATAATGCACCTCGTGGATCTTGGCCTTTATTCCCATTTGCCCCCTCTAGGCTTGCCACCGGGGTGGTGGATGCCACTAATTAGGTGGCGTTTACCACCCCGGTGGTCGATGGCACTAAATAGGTGGTGTTCACCACCCCGGTGGTCGATGGCACTTAATTAGTTTCATCTGCCCCCTTCACAGTTATTAGTACGGAGGTTTATTCTCATATTGTACCATTACCAATTTTTTTTATTACCAATAAATAAAAAATAATAAATTAAACAATATATTTTAGTTTCTCTGTTTCTTTATTGGATAAAATCACAGTTTTATTACACTAACATAAGTGATGGACGTAAGATATTTTCACAAAATTGAATCAGTAAAAAATATTTTAATATCATTTTCAATAGCTAGGTATAGTCACAAGTTTTAATCACGGAATAATTTACTATTTTGACACCGTTTTTAAAATATTTTGTTTCGTATTAAAATTTCTTTAACATTGACTAACGAAGCGTCTTCTTCAATTTTATTAAAAAAATGCATAATATTTGGATTTTTTCCCATAAATTTGTTTAGCTTGTTGTGCCAACCTTCCAAAAAATTGTTGGTACGGTGGCGTTGGCCGTACACTGGAATTTCGACCTCTTCAGATTCATAACAGGATATTTTTGTCAACTTTGCTGTCTTATTTCGATGACTATATAATAAAGATTTGATGTTATTGAATTGTTATCTAATTACTAATCTAGTTCAGAAATACAATAAACGTTGTTATAATAACTCGCAATTATTAATTATTTTGCATAGGCTTAGGTACTTCTTTTATAAACAGTTGGTAAGATATAACACCAATGTAGAAAGAAAAATAAGTTTAAGTCTATAACAAAATTTTGTTAAAAATTGATGTACAAAATCATAATAAATATTTTTGTTTTGTCATGCGCTCTACTATTATCGTCAAGAGCGTAATACCGAAGTACCTATTTTGTGCATTGCAGTATTTTTCCATAGTTTTCGCTCACATTTACAACAGAAGATGATATGAAGACACAGGAACAATGCAATGTTGTACGACTCCACCCCTATGTGCGAGTGAGACCCCCTTTGTACGAGGGAGAACGCAGTATAGTTACACATTACATTTCTTGTCACTCCGTTCGCCTGTTTGTGTTTAATTTTAATGTGTGCGTTTATTTGTTTACCTTCCGGGTTTCTTACTTGTACAATTACAATTTGCAATAGATAATCCGAAACTGCTTGGTGCAAATTCAAACATTATTTATACACTAATATGGCAGAACCACAAGCTAGTGGAAGTTCCCCAGAGCTTAATACGATTTTTTATATTAATAAAAATAATGGTAAAGTGCTGTTACGTGCGGGACATCAATATATTATTAAAAAACAATACAAAACCACTGGTCTCGTGATATGGGAGTGCTCAGGCAGAAGAAAAAATAAGTGTCGCGGTGTTTTAAGAATTAAGGTAAGTAGTTTTTTAGTACACTTACTGTCTGTGTCACCACATCCGAATAAGTTCCCATATAATTATTTAGCAGATAATTTCAAACAAATTCTGTTTCATTTTTAAATTTATTCAACAGTTAGTAACTGTTCAGATGTTGTGAAACAGGCTCTTAATAAGTTTGTTAATCTAGTTTTAGTGCCAGGGGCCGTAGGCAAAGTAACATTATCGTTGCCGAAGTTAGATACGATAACTAAGTTCAATAAGAATAAGTTTTTTATAAAAAGTTTTTTATATAGCTAGATTTTATTGCATTGTCACGACATATACATATGCCTGCAAAATTTCCAATAAAAGCTTGTAAATAAATGTAAAGGATTGACATGTCAATCTACCACCACATTGTATATTGTACCACTCTAAAGATAGACGTATAATATAATTTAAAATCAACCTGACAAAACATGAGAAAACAATATTATTTTGTTAGGTTCAAGCTTAAATTCACTTTATTTTAATAATTTTAAAGTTGACTTTTGAGTGCCTTAAAAAGCTGCGCGAGGATTAATGCAGTCTGTCTGCGGTGATCCTAAGGCAACCAACCGTGTATCGTTGGTGAAACGAACACAATAATATGTAATACCTAATAAATAATGTGTAGAAAGTTAGTGTACTAAAGAATATTCACATATGTGTTTTTCTTTTTATAGGGAGAAAATATTGTCGGTGAGAAGCACCACGACTGTACACCAGATTTCGCAAAAAATGAAAGTGCAATATTAATGCAAAGAATAAAAGAGAAGATAACAGAACCAACCTTTCCCGCCGTGCCATCTACTTACAACAAGGCAATAGCAAAGATGAGTAATTCCGACGTGAGTAATATTATGAAATTTCCTCAATTCAATAACATCAAATCATCATTATATAGGTATCGAAATAAGACAGCAAAATTGACAAAAATATCCTGTTATGAAGCTAAAGATGTCGAAGTCCCAGATAGATACGAAGAATTCTTGTTGGCCGACTACAAACATGAAGGTGTCCGTATAATTATATTCTGCTCCAAAAAATCCAGAGAGTTAATTAAAAAGGTCAAGGATTTCTTTAGTGATGGTACATTTAAAAGTTGCCCATCATGTTATGTAATTCATGGAGATTTGGGGAGCGATAGAGACGCTACTAACATCGTGCCGTTGATGTATTGTCTCATAAATAAAATGACATATAAAGCCTACGTCACTCTATTTGAATTAATAAAAACGCAGATTCCTGAGTGGGAGAACCAATAAACTTCAAAACAGTCTTTGAAAATGCTGCGATAAAAGCAATAAAAAAATTATTTCCAAATACAACAATTGCCGGCTGTTATTACCATTATAATAAAAGTATTTGGAAAAAAGCAAAAGAGCTTGGACTGACACAATGCGAAAAAATAAAAAGACGTGAAATAGAACTGAGCGCAGTACTACCATTATTGCCTCGCAATGAACTATTAAATGGATGGAAATATATAACGCGTCACGATATTGAGGACCCTCAGTTACTGAAATTCAGGTCTTATATGGAAAAACAGTGGACCAAATCTGATTCGTTAGAAATTTTGTCAGTGTATGGCCAACGTCACCGTACCAACAATTTTTTGGAAGGTTGGCACAACAAGCTAAACAAAGCTATGGGAAAAAAGAATCCAAATATTATGCATTTTTTAAATATAATTGAAGAAGATGCTTCGTTAGTCAATGTTAAAGAAATTTTAATACGAAACAAAATATTTAAAAAACGGTGTCAAAATTCTATATCCAATGACGAATTCATTCAGGACGCTCAATTAGCGTTATTAGATGGACAATTAACAGTAGGCCACTTTTTGGAAATGGTGCGTACATAAATAAATATAACTTTTCTTGAATTTGTTCTTAGATTAACTTACAACTGTGACATATTATTATTTCTAATTGGGTAGATTATTCTAATTTTAATTATATTGTGATTAAAACTGTGATCTTAGTAGATAATTGAAAACCACTTTTTAAAAATCTTGGTTAGATTTGCAGTGTTACGTTATTATGAAAACACTAACTTATAATGTTTTACGTATAAAAACTAGTCGATTATTGTAAATGATTCTGTGATTAAAAAGTGTGACTATTGAAAATGATATTAAAATATTTTTTACTGATTCAATTTTGTGAAAATATCTTACGTCCATCACTTATGTTAGTGTAATAAAACTGTGATTTTATCCAATAAAGAAACAGAGAAACTAAAATATATTGTTTAATTTATTATTTTTTATTTATTGGTAATAAAAAAAATTGGTAATGGTACAATATGAGAATAAACCTCCGTACTAATAACTGTGAAGGGGGCAGATGAAACTAATTAAGTGCCATCGACCACCGGGGTGGTGAACACCACCTATTTAGAGCCATCGACCACCGGGGTGGTAAACGCCACCTAATTAGTGGCATCCACCACCCCGGTGGCAAGTCTAGAGGGGGCAAATGGGAATAACGGGGATGAATCCGGCTTTCATAACGATCCAGGGAAACAAAAACTGTTATTCCGCCGTGCTAATCGACATCCAGAGTTGATCAGAAATTCTACAAAATCATGTTTTACTGTTGTTTTTTGTGGAAATGCAGTAGGAGAATTTATTCCGCCATTCTTTATATTTAAAGGCAAAAATTGCTGGTCTGACTGGTTACAAAATGCTCCTTAGTCTTCCAAAATGACTGTCAAAATCAGGTTGGATTGACTCTGATATCTTTGATGAGTGGTTAGAAAAACATTTTATTCCAATAGTGGATAAAAAACCAGGGAATAAAATTCTACTTTGTGATAATCTTAGCGCACATATAAGTGTAAAGGCACTGAAACTTTGTGAGGAACATAACATAAAGTTTATATGTCTCATCCCCAACTCCACTCATCTTTTACAACCCTTGGATGTAGGGTTCTTTTCCTCTTTAAAAACAGCCTGGAGGTCAGTGTTGAGGACGTGGCGGCTAACCCAAAGAGGTAGGAAAGCTATTAGTTTACCAAAGAATATTTTTTCTCAGTTGCTAAAACTCACCTTGGACCAATGTGAATCAACTGCAGGATTAAATCTGATTGCCGGATTCCGCAAATGTGGAATATATCCAGTGTCACGAAGAGAAGTACTTCAAATCTTACCTGGGTACGCAGCTACTGACGTTCAAACATCTGTAGGTGAGACTTTCAAGGAATATTTAAAAGATATCAGAGAGTCAGACCTAAATATCAAGTCATGTAGAAAGTTTCAGTTACCTGTTGAAGCAGGAAAGGCAGTCTCGGCAGAAGAAGTTGAAACATTTTACAAAAATAAGATTGATGGGCAGAACAAGAAGAAAGAAAATCCTGTAAAGAGAGGCAGACCAGTTGGTTCTAAAACTGTTAAAGGGAAAAAGAAAAAAACAATAGGACAGGAAAATAATACAGCTGCAGATCCATTAGTCCCAAAAAACATGAATATTGATGATAAAAGCCAATCTGATACAGATTTAATGTGCAATAATAATTCTAAAACCAATGTTGCTGTGCCAGAAACTATTGTAAGTAATGATGACATGGACAAAGAAAATTATTGTAATACAATAAATGTCCTACATATTGGACTAGAAGACACACGGGCTGCTAGCCCTGAATCAGACACGGAAGATTTTCCAATTATTTCTACAGTGGTGGCAAGCATACATACTGCTCCACAAGAGGGGGCTTTTAGAACACCAG